CCAGGCTTCCCTTCGTTGTTATTATTTTTTTAATTAAAACCGCAGCGGGGGGTGGGGTGGGGTGTGTGGAAATAGCGCTCCGCCCTCCTCCTTCCTGAATGCGTGCGGCGCTTTGTTTTTAAGGCCTTTACCTCGGTGTTCAGCCCCCGCTGGTCCCTCACGGGGGGCTGCATGCCTCAAGTTGAGGCACCTCAGCCCGATAAGGCTGTGAAACACGCGTCCAAAATGGGCACCTGGCCCCCGTGGGTGGGTGGGTGGCGGCGTCCCGCAGAGCAGGTGCCGGCGGAGGGGGGCCGTGCCGCACGCCGAGATGGTGCGAAGGCGGCGCTGGGGCCCTGGTTTTGACCCCTACCAGGGTAATGTGGACTTACTTGGGGGTTCGGTTCTTGTGTTTGTGGGGGCTTAGCTGCTCGGTGAGGAGAGGAGCCGACCTCTGGACGTGTGGGCACCGGCTCTTGGTGGCTGCGAAGGGGAGGCGAAGCATCCAGAGATAGAGACATCAAGTAGCGTGTTGTGTGTACGGATGAGAGCTGAATAGGATCTCAAGTGACTAGGAGATCTCTGTTCTTTCGTAGCATTTATGTTTCTGGAAGAGGGTTATTCCTGGGGGTGCAGGAATACAGTGGGGGATTTTCTTGCTGTCTGCAAGAGCTAGATCTCCAGTTTAGGTAGATGTTCTCTCTGTTTTCAAATTGCAGAAGAAAGCTTAAAAATCTTTATCTGTGTGCTGCTTCAGTGTGCTCTGTCACTGCTCAGGGCATGTCTAGGGAACAGCTGAAGAGAGCGGTGTGTGGTGCCTTCTGGCTTTTTACTGTTTTGAAGTTCAGCTGGTTTGCGTATGGGGGGAAAAGTCAACAGACGCATGCTAGAGTCTGTACGTGGAAGCTTTTATTTTGAGAGTAAGATACTTTTCTGCATTAAACTTGAAAGGTGAATGTGGTGTGAGGGGAATCAGACATATCTATTTATGAGTCTCTCCTAGAGCCAAGTGAAACCGGAGCTGTTTATTGCTGAACTTGTCTTGCCTTGAGCATAGGTGTCTTTCCATGGCACTCCCTGTTCTTTGGGGACAGGTAGAGTTTTGAGATGTAGCCTTCATGCAGCAGAAGTTAGCTTTTTCTGTGTAGTTAAGTTTCCCCCTCCTTAGCATATTGTTTACAGAAAGGGCCAGTGAAGTGTAACTGTAGCTTCTGGAGCTTGGTGGGAAGCTCTTACCTGCTGTTCAAACACCAGTCTGGGATCTCAAAGGCAGTGGTTATGCCGTGGTGCCAGCTTTTACCACGGAGAAGGGAAAAGTCCTTCTCTAATCCCTTCTCCTGCAGGGATCCATTTGCTGATAGCTGCCGGGGGTTTGGTTGCTTTACTTGCTGTTGGTTCTGTTGAGAAGGTGGCTGCCCAATTAGTTTGCTAACTGGGTGGTCCCTGTGCTACTCAGAGGCGTGGCACGAAATGAGGCAGGCTGGCTGTAGCACCCAAATCCTTCGCCTTGCTCACATGCCATTACAGCACTGAGCAAGTATGTTAGCATGTCTGCCTTGTTCTTGCTATTTAGGTGTCAAGAGCATCCATGGTGTGCTAGGTGCTGCCCTCAGAGAGTCACCCAGCTTTCTGTGAATCAGGGTTAGAGTAGGTTTTCCCACTCCCTGTGAGGTACAAGGGGAGGCATGATAAAGAGGACTGAGTTGGGGCCGCCCTCTAGGCATCATTCACCTCCCTCCTCAAAGAGGACAAACCATGCTGTTTGAAGCCAGCCAAGGCTTGGATCTTGGGTGTTCAGATTTTTCCTGAAGTTTGGCTTCTCTGGGAGAGTTTTCTTTTGACTCTGCCTGTGTAGCTGGTGTGGATCTTGAGTAGAGAGCAGCTCTAAGGCAACAGAGCTGACTTCTGAAAGTAAAAGCAAATGGGTGCTTGTTTGGGGCACGGTATCACTGCACTTTGTCCCTGTCTTAAACCCTCCTGACAGTGCAGATTCCAGGCTGAGGTCCAGGGGTTAGAATGAAATCATAGGGAAGAAGGGGATGGGCAAAAGATACAGCTGCAGCCTGTGCTAGGAGAGCCGTTTGTCCCAGTACAGGCTCCTGTAGGATCCCCATATCTGGGTTTGCTGTGCAGCTGGTTTCTGCCTGAGAGTAGGTGCCTGCGGGCCTTGAAGCGTATGGCATCTGCTACCCTGCACTGCCTGTTGCCCTGTCCATCAAAGTGGAAGGTTAAATAATGTTTCTTGGTGGGTGGCAAGCAGAGGGGAGTTTTGCAGAAGCCTTACTTATTTGTCTATATGTAGATAAGGTTGGTGCCTTCACGCATCTGTACTTGGCTCTGAATTTAAGGAGACTTTAATGTGCAAAGATAAGTACTTCCTGGGGAGGAGTGGAAAAACCTCTTCCTTTGGGTTTTTTCTTTGGTTCCGACTCTTTGTGACCTTGATCAGAGAGAAGAGAAAATTTTGTGGACTTCAGAGTATAAGATCTCACTTACTGTTTTCTTTTCCAGCTTTTTCCTTCTGGCCTTTACATCTGTTCAGATTGCCTCTGAGCTGATTCTGCCTTCTCCCTGAACTAAGACCACGCTGTCATCATTTGTATATGGCAGTAAGGCTTCAGTATGGGCCAACACTGAGCTGAAAGCCCCGGCCAAATGACCTGCAGCCTTGAGAGCTTGCTGTGGACTTCAAAGGCGCATTTGAGAAAACCAAATGAAATAACATTGGGCTTTCATATTTCTAAATAAGAGGCCAGGAGGTATTTAAGGTCTGATGTGACCCCGCCTAGCTCTTGTTAAGCACTTTACCATTAAGTTGTAGGGGTCTTGGATTTATTCTTCAGGGCTACAACAGTGATACTGTCCCACATCTGAAGCGCGCTCTCTCCAGCTTTGAGGTGCTTCAGTTCTCATTGCTGTTTTTCCACTAGAATAATCTGTGTGGCTATCAAGGTGCATCAGGCAAAGTCTTGTGTGTTTACAAGTTACTTGATGGTGCATACTGCAGTGTTGTAGCATGAATCACTTCTTGTCCTGAGGGTTTTCTGGGAAATGGCTTTCTGTCATGTGTGTGTCTTCTCTTGGGGCCGTTGGAGTGCAGCACACCAGGAAATGCACCTTTACATGCCAAGCAACTGAGAAGTCCTTTTGTGCTGGCTCTGCAGTCTCCTTATGCGTACCTGAAATCCTGCAGCTTTTCACAAACTTGAAGCCTGGAGCTCTGAGGACTTACCTGTCTGAATAAATCCTTAAGCCAATGGGCCTGGATGAGTAAACCTCGCTTAGGTGATAAGACTGTCCTTTCTTCAGTTACTACTAATACTAAAATGCAGCCAATGTCAAGATTCTTAAGTTCTTAATGCAGAGCAGGGGATATATTTTTGGTAAGGGTCTTGAATCATCTCACTCTGGTGAGCTGGGATTTGGTGTGCCCGCTTTGGAAGCGTAGCAGCCTGGATAAATGACTGGATGTGAACCTGTAATCACTGAAAAGCTGGTTTTGAGCTGATGCTAAGGTCCCAGGCTCTGCCTGTGACTCATAGTTAATCAACAGCACCTCTATGGTCTGTGTAGCTTATGAAGGTTGTCCTATATGGCTCTCATTTGAGGGTGGGTTGGAGCTGCTGAATTGCTTCTTTTTTTGGTGGGGAGAAGAGGTGGGTTCTGCTGCCAGAGGCAAAGCTGTCTATCGAACCCCCACCTGTGCTGTTCTTGTAAAGCATGGTGCTGTCAGCAGAAAATAGTAAAACAAGCTGAGGGGATGTTTCTACTGTGAAGAATACAGAAAGGAGGGGTTTTAAAACTAGCATCTTGGGCAGGGCTCTGTCTCAGGCTTGGCCTGGGATGAAGTAACAGGTATTTGACATTCAGGTTTGCTTGTCAGCTGTCGCTGTGTGACCACCAGGAAATACGCTGCTGAACTGTAGAGACCTTTTCCATTGGGTAGTAGGAGGGAAAAAACCCCAAAACCCCTCTTTTACCTTTTGAAATTGAGATAATGAGCAATAGCAGCATCTTAAATGTTGTGCTCCTGAAATTTGATTTTGTGCGTGCAAAGGTTTAAGGACTGGTCATGGAGGTTATTTTTCTGTGTGTATGTGGAGTCAGAACCAAATCCCAGATTGAGAGAGGGGAATAAATCAGCTTAGTCTCTATGGAGTTCTCGGAGGAATGCCAGTTTCTGCTGGCCAAAGCGTGAAGCTTGTCCTAGGGGAGGTATATGTGATGCTGTCTTGTGTGGCTGTGTGAAGAGATCCGTAGATCTCCCCAGGAGCACGAAGGAAAGCTTCATAGCATCTGTGGCCTCACAAAACTCGAGTCCCTCCCTGTGCAGGAGACTAATTTGTGTCTCCTGCAAAGGCCCTCGCTGGGGAAAAAGTTGTTGAGCTCAGCAGCCCCGGCCCAGTCAATGGAAGGAGACGCACTCTTATGTATGTACATGGAGACGTGGATGTAATTCATGGGGAACCTCCTGGTACTCCCTGGAAGCAGTAAAGCTGCTGCGTCTTTTTCTGGTGGAAAACAGAGGTGGGTGGGGGGATGTTTTGTGCTGATGTGGTTGGAAATGTTTGCTGGCTTGGTGGAGAAGTTGCTGTGTCTGGATCACCCTGCAATACCTTCTGCTGGGAGGGAAGGGGCTTGTTCTGGTGTCTGCCTGGCTCTACAAAGGAAGTCCCTGTGAGGAAAAGTGCTCTTGCAGGCATCTCGCTGGATGAGTGCAAGGGAAGCCAAGCAGCCACTTTTGGCAAAAAACAGAGTCGTAGCAAGGCCTGGGTTTATTCTTTGGTCACTGCACACAGACAGGAGGTGTGCAGGGCAGCTTGGTGCCCAGCCTTGCTCCATCAGCTGTGCAGCGTCAGTGGCAGCAGCGCAAGCAGTCTTTGCATGGTCATTCTTCTGACCCGTAATTGCAGCATCTCTCTTGAACTTATAGCACATCCAGGCTGATCCACTTCTTTCTGCCTCTCACATTCCAAAACTCTTCAAGGCACGTGCAAGTCCTCCCTATTCAACATTAGAAGCTGTCTTCAGGGTCCTATGTCCGATTATTGATTACGTTTGGAAGTTTAGTCCTGATAAATCAAAAACCTTCCTCTGATCCCTTGCTCTGTCTTCCAAACTCCTGCTGCTACCACTAGGTTGCAGCAGCTCTGCCTGTGTGCTGCTTGTGACAGGCCTGATCCTGTCCCTGGGGCTGTGCTGGGCTGCAGTACAGTGTGTCTGGGAGAGCTGCCCTCAGTGTTCCTGGGAAAAGGGACTCTCGCCAGCTAAGAGGCTCAGAAGAAGCCAATCTCCATGTGATCCCTGTGGTGACGAGTCCAGGTGGGTGGCGTGCACTTGGTTCTTGGTGCTTGGGGTAGGTCAGATGTGGAAGCTG